CATAATAGAAGGAAATACTATTAGGTGGTCGCAATTTTTCGAATAAATTGTTTGAAGACGTTTTCGAAATGCGCGAAAAAAAAAGAGTTGCAGTTTATAAATTAACAAATGTTTCATTGATTCGTGTGATAAATTATTATTGAGCAATATTTAAGTTTTAAACTGTAAAACTCTATGCCATTGCAGTAAAAATATATGATTTATTAAGAGGCGTTGAAAATTTAATGAAAATAAATTTTTTATGACGTCGATAAATTAAACTAATTTACAGTAAATGTGTTGAGACTTGAGTTCTTGCATATTGTTTCGTCTCTCAATTTACTGAAATGCTTCATACTAATAATATTATAATTTACATTAATATTCTTAGTTCTTCAATTATTTACTCGAGGAAAAACATACAATGACAAGAATTTGCATATTTCTAATAATGTATACCTTTAAGAAGGTCCGATAGAACATGCACGGGAAAAAGCATATTTTTATCGTAATTGTTAGTACTAAAGGATTTTCGAGAGGATTTTTAATTAAACGTGAAAAATAACAAATATTCTAATTTTTTTCCGAACTGTAGTAATGGCGACGGAGCGTAAAAAAAGTTGTACGGCATTTCCACTCTAACAAGCTTACGTACTTATTCTAAGAATCTGTAAAAGATTTGAGTGCCACGAAAAACAACATTACGTAAAGCAGAAATCAAGCAAATGCCTTCCAATTACAGATGTAGTTTAAATTGATGAAAAAAAAAAAAATTAAAAATAAATAATCTAATCCGATTACACGTACAAGACCCCAGCGAATGAAAAACTATTGTGACTAATAACAATAAACTCTGAGTTAACAGTGTTTACACATTAGACAGGGACAAAGTATAGACAAACAAAGAAAATAAAGAAGCATATAAGTATATTGTTACCCATTGAGCGGATTTTCTTTCTTAGTGCCGATACCCCAGGAATTTTTACCAATGCGAATGACTCGACAATCCCGGACAGTAGGACATGTATATACATTAATGTGTGTAGATGTTTTAAAGAAATCAATAATGTGTATTATACGCGTGTACACACACACTTACTGTTATACATACATGCTATGTACATGCGTATAGGCGCGGGTGAATAAGAGGATCGTGTGTGTGTTCCTCTCGGCGTACCCTTGGCGCAGGTTTGACCGTGAATATGTGCAGAGAAGAGGAAAAAAAGGAAGGGCACGACCTTCGGTCTCATCCCCGAACCTTGACCTGTTCACCCGGATCTCTCTCTCTCTCTCTCTCTCTGTCGTTCTAGCTTTCTGTTCCCTTTTTTCACTCTCCCAATTTAATGCTTTTGGTGTGCAGTGGATACCCCCCTTTTTTTCCTACACACGTGTCTTGCATTTTATTCATGTACGTACGTGGAGAATATTTGGGTACAATTAATGCAGTTGGCAATTTTTTTTCATCAAATCCATTTTTTGCCAATTCGATGATATTTATATCCAATGAAATTCAATCGTTAAAAATGGTGGCGACAAGTTTTACGTATACGTGTGAGCTAAATATTAATTTTCTCTAAATAACGGTCGTCTATTAAAACATACATTTTTTCGAAAATTGCATAATTACATAAATGAGTGTAATTTAATGTTAAATATTATTATAAATTGACTAGATTATTAAAAATAATTAAAAATAAAATTTTAGTACCAACGTACAAAAATCGTATTATTCAGACACTGAAGTCTTACTTTGCATAATGGTGACGAGAACTACTATTAGGTCAACTTTTTGAAATACTTTAATTTTTANACAGGTAAATTTATCGTATGTTATGAGTCAGAGTACATAGATAAATTTCATAATTAATTTTTTAATTTTTTTATAAACAAACATTTTAAATTTAAATAAAAAATTTTGTAATTTTATCATTTGTATAGAAAATAAATCACTGGGAGAGCTTTTTCTGCCAAAGAAAATATATATGATGCCAATTGAAAATTCTACAAGTGACATAACTGTACTTCAATCTTTCCATCATAAAGATTGAATTATGCATGTATTATCGATATATCAGTATGACATTTGCCGCTTCGGTTTATGAGAGTCACTTACTATGCATTCGTGCCTTCTTTTTCATGTCATTTTTTATTGTAGCTCGAGAGATTTATTTATTTATTTTTTTTTCGATGCATGTATTTACTCTTTCTTGTTAGTGCTACTTTCAATTGTTAACTACTTATTCGAGTACATTTTTATAAAGTTAATCTGTTAATTTTTGATCAAATGGATATTGTCAGACCTAATACTGTACAATAGTTATCCAAAACATCCACTTCCATGTATAAAAAAAAAAAAAAGAGAGAGAGAATGACTACGTAAAAATAAACAAACACGTGAAAGTTGATGATAAGCTCAACTCTTGAAAACACACGAAGCTCGAGAATTTTGTTTAGCAGACACGAAACATCTTATGCTAAACTGAAATGAGCCAGATTGAAGATTTTCTAACCGCGCGCTCTTCCTGTTTTAGCCGGGCTAATTATAATTTTAACTTAATCTGTCTTTGCGTTCCAAATCATATATACCCTCGTGGCGCAGGTTCAATTTTCGCAACCAATCACATCTTTACAACATATCAGTACATTTTAGTTTTTTTAAAAACAATTTTACAACAATGTACCTTGTTGTAGTATATAATGAAATTACAAACTTTTAAATCCTTCAAAGTTAAAAATGTACTTTTTAATGTATACAATGTCTTATATTCTTATGAGTAGTACACTTATTTCTCCTACGTTTTTTTTTTAACCATAACATATTATAACCTTAATTTATTATTGTACAATACGTGGTAAAGCAACATATTATGTATGCAATCAGTCGAAAAATAATACATTTGTATTATCACAAAAAATTAGTCAAGCATTTGAAATACATTGTCGCGTGCCCAGGAATCACGTGTTGCAATAATGCACGTGTGTTACAACAACTTTGCAGCATTATTATGCAACGCGTCGTCAATTCAGTGAACACACCACGCGACGGGGTCGGTGTCCTCTGCGCGAGTAAAACGTGAAATATATATTCACGTTGCCTGTAACTCGTATACCTATATATACACCTCGTGCATGTTTATTCCTCTAAATTGCAGCTACGCATTTGTAAGTTAGGAGAGAACAGGAATTTTCCACTTTATTATTTTCTCTGATTACAAACATTTTCTTTTTCGAGTTAAAAGTTATAGAAGCGTGAGATCACGCTGGATCATGATGCCATCCGTAAATTTGTTACAATTGTCATATTCTAACTTTAAATAAAAACGTGACTATTTAATGTAATGTAGTTGAAAATAAAAGTTTTATTCGTAAACTGAATGTTAAAGCATCTTTTTACTACAAATAACCTCTTGTTTTATAGATAATAAATACATTTGATACAATATCTTCGCATATAGCTATGTATCACGTTAAAAATTAGCCGACTCATGTCAATATTATTACTGAATTGACATTTGCTTTGATTTAAAATTTTGAATTGATGCAATCTCCGTTTATGGCCGATTGATTTTTTTCAAATGCACTCGCATAGCATGAATCGATCGGCTTTAACTGTACAAGGCCTAGTGTGTGTTCATTAAAAGAGTGGTATTACCATACAATTTTTAATTATTAATTAAGCCACTTGATAACATTTCATAACAAATGGGTTACGCGTTACGAAATAATGTTGCTTAATACATTTTAAAAAATATTATTTTCCTACGTTTACTGCATAAATATATATTGATAACAATTATTAAAAATTCTTTTAAATATTGCAAACATTTTTTAGCTTTGTTTCGATAATGACATTTTATTTTTTTTATCAAACAGTTACAAAACTATCTAGTTAAATATTAAAAAATTTAAATGTAGAAAAAGCTGATTGCAACTATTCATGTAAAAAAAAAAAAAAAAAAAAAAAAAAAATAAACACCCACAATATTTAAAATCACCCTTTTTTACGCCTAACACTTTAAATATCTAATTTGAAAATTTAGTGAGCAATTATTCAAATAACAGCCATATAAGTTATTGAAAATCAAAATAAGGCAAAAAGTAAAAATAGGGTTTATGTAGTATTTTTTTAAATTATTGATAGCAAACTCATACAGCATTGCAAATTGGATAAAACAACTTTTTTTTTCTTAACATGAGTTAAGTATCTTTATTGAATTCTACAGTGCTGACTTGTTACCAAAGATTTATGCATTTTTTTCAACTTTTATCAATAACTCATGTGCCAGTACCCCCAATATGCTACCTATTTATCCTGTATGGTTACACTATGTTGTTTGACTTAAAAAAAATATACACCCAACGATATTTGAAATATCATATTAAAATCAGTGTAACTAACTCTGATTGTTAACACCTATTGTCCTAGTAGTTGATTCAAATGTATTGATAAAATTAACAAACTATTATTTGTGTGAACGTGTTATTTAATGATAAAATTTTAATCCATAACTACACTGAGGAAACAAAATAAAAAAAAGTATAGAAAAATTTTAGCAAAAATTACCATTTTGCACAATAAATCGAATTCCAGCTGGAAAAAAGCAAAAAGTCATCGTTTTGAACAGTTTTTGCTTAATCAATTAAGATTATGGTTCGAAAAGTAAAAGTAATACCGGCATCTTCCAAAATAATTCTAGCATAGTAAATTTTTACTGTTTTAACCATAATTCCAAACTATTCAATACTGTTAAAACAATAATCTTTAGTGTCAAAAATGATAATTTTTCCTTTTTTGCCACTTTTATATCCGATTTACCGTGCAGAATGGTAATTTTTGCTAGAATTCCTCTTAGAATTTTCATAATAATTTTTTTCCTCTCAGTGCATGCATGAAAAATAAATAGGTATTAAAAAAACAAAATCCTGCCAATCGCAAACTCCGATTCTTAATGCATCATCAATGTAATTTTCATCCATATGCGCACTAGAGCTACCTTTGTTTACCTGAATTTCTCCCGCAGGACGCGCCAGCGGCGCGCGTACGACGACAACGTCGCCAAGCATCCACCGCGCGACCTCCAAATCGAGGGTCTGCTGGTGGAAACCGCCAGCAAGTTGCACCACGACGACGACGGCACGCCGCAAATTTTGGCCGGGCGCGACGCAACCGTGCGGATCTTTGGTGTGGGGATCACCAACCGGACGGTGATCGCGTTCAACGACCAGTCGGGAAAACGAGGCGACATCTGCGACAAAATCAAGTCGGGCGAGTATCGAGTGAGTGTGATTTTTTCTTTTTTTTTTTTTTTGAAAGGCAATCTTTTTTTCTATTGGGTAACGATGCGCTGATTATGGGCGTGCATGTATTTTTAGTGTAAATTTAATTTAATTTGGCTGAAAAAAAATTTTAGAGTCATACTAAAATCAGTAAAATTTAAATTATTAAAATAAGTTAACTGCGATAAAATAAAAAATGGGATTGGTATTTTTTAATGAGATTAATAAACCTAGTATTTAAAAAAAAAATCCAATATCAAGTAGATTTTTATACCTCATAGCTTAAAGTTAAAAATGTGTGTAACTCGGTGCACTTGACAGATCAACTAAATGTTTCAGTATATTAATAATTCGGAAATATTTAGATAAAATACTTTTTTTTATTTTCATTAAAACAATCCATGTATAAAATCTTACTTTCAATTCGATAACCCTAGCGTAGTATTCCTTATGGCCTGATTTTTAGTGAAGTGACGTCACATCATGGGCGTGCGAGAGGGACAACAAATAATGTGACGTCACAATATATATATAAAATAATACTCATGTCTCTCTTGCACTCCTATTATGTGCCGTCAATTTATTAAAAAATCCGGCTACAATATAGAATACGCTTATTATATCGAAGTTTCAATCAAGAAGTGAACGCTATCTATTTTAATAAGACAAAATCGGCATCTATGACATCACACGTTATGATATTCAGAATCAATAGGTAACGTACATTTGTTGCTTTGAAAGAACAATAAAAAAATCGAGAGTCTACAAAAACTGGTTATTTATTTTTTTTTTGCAACAAATTTAAGATATATTCATGCAAATGTGGGCATACGAACTTAGCACAGCTGTATATTTTCTCACATTTGTTCAAATTTGATAAAGAAAATTGTGTCCAATGTCATTTACACCGTATCAGAGCAAGGTCGTTGTCTCTTCTGGTTAATCACCGTTTAGGCCTTGGCTATACTTACTTTAATGTGTTATTAAAATTTAATGGTATTATGCTTTTGTAACTTTTTTTTAGTATTTTCATATAATCATATGTAGGTTATTTTATGAAAACCGCGATATTCCACGATATAATAATAAATTATTTCGAGTCGGAGCTTTTGTGGTGTAAGCCAATTTTTCTCTAAATACATTTTTTAGATAAAATCGAAACAATTTTGGCGTGGCTGTAAGATGCAAAAAAAAACAGGGAAAAATGTCACTACGTAATGCGAAAAATTTCATATTTAATGGGCTTATAGCACCTATGTGCACTGACTTTATAAATTTTTTCCTCCAATTATCTGAAAGTCTGAGGTATCAAGCATTATTTCATACAGTTTAAAATGATAAAAAAAATTTTTTTAAAGATACGAGACTTTTAAGCTGAAACCGACGTTTGACACTTTTGAAGTACGCGAGATAAATGATTGAATTGAAGTAATTAATTCTGGAACACTTGAAATGGACCATTTTGTGTTATGAAGTTAACGAAAATACCATACATTTTTTGCAACCCGAAAATATCACAAATATGCAGCGCATTTTTTGTCCCGGTACAATTAGCGATCATTAATGTACCTGATCGCGATGGTTTTTTAAATTATCAATTAAAAGACTGTAGTGTGCAGAAGCGTCTGGTGATAATCCCAAAAGTTAGGATCTTACACTAAAAGAAAAAAGTAATGAAAACAGTCATAAACACCGAATTTCAAAAGTATTATTTTACGATTGTAAATATCGCAATTTTTCTGATAAGACCCATATTCAAAATCAACCAGGCTAATCGATTTTCGGGACATGATTATAAAATACTACAATTTTAATTTTATGACAATTTTGTATACTGTACACTTAAATAATTTTTAAACTTTGTTATTAAAAAAAAAAAAAAAATTTGAAAATTTTTTTTCAACTGTAATCAATTATCGCTCTTCGTCTATATCTTATTGGAATTACTAGAAACCCATTAAACACCGTGTAAACGGACTGTGAAACAAAATTGCACCCACTCCGTGAAAATCATTACCAGAACGTCATTACACATTCGTATCTCCGTTACAACTGACACGAATAGACGAAAGATAAAGAAAAAAAATAGTAAAAGAAATTCTATAATTTTTTTTGGGAAATGAACAATCGGTTGATATATAGCGTTTGACTTTATCCGTCCACAGGTGAGAGACGTCGAGAGAGACATAACGGCCGTGGCCAACATATCTCTTCCTCTGGGCTCGCCGTTCTTCATATGCGCGGCGCAGCTGAACCTCGACGGTGTCCGAGACGACCTGTTCCGTCACCAAGGCCCGGAGAGATACAAAACTGTAAGTTCCGCTATTTTTCTATTTTTTCTGTGTTTTTATCTTATCAAAAATTACCACAGGCTTGGGCACAACTATTTTGTATGTTTTTAAAAATTTTTTTCATCAAAAATATAACGCAATATGTTTCAAAGGACATGACGACATTCTTTTCAATTTTTTTTTCCTTTTTAGTTGAAAAATTATTAAATTTATTAATTATAAACGTAACTTTTCAAGTTTAAACATTTTCTTCTTTTCTTAAACAATGCTCGATTGGAATAACTTTTAATAAATTTCAATTGCAATTGTTTCGTTGAAAAATTAAATATTCCTTAAAACCCTGATGGCGAGTCCATTGAAAAAGTACTTTTGCCCAAGTCTGATTATTTCGCAAATATGAATAAATGAAAAAAAAAAAAAAGGAAAAAAAAATTATNTTGTTGGGTGCGGAGCGGTGCATCGGCACCGATTTTGCCACTTTTACATATTCGTAATTTTATAAATCGACGTATCGAGCGAGAAAAAAAAATACACGAAAATTACAGGCGATTCAAGGAAATAAGTGCCATTTTCCAACTATTCTACCGAGTAAACCGCCCATAATTTGTATTTTCCGTTTCGAATACTCTGTTTCGCAATTTTCTTTCATCCAAGCGTTCTGGGAACGATTTGCGTTTATGGAGAAGAAAAAACAACATTATGATTATACAATATCAAATAGAATTCTCGGAATCGAAACTTTACTGTAGCGATAAAAAATATTTGTCCACTTTTTATTTTCCCTTCCCAAGATAAGGTACACGTTTTTCCCGACCAAGACTCCATCCGAAAACGTAACTCGAGATAAAAACATTATTATTAAAACACAACGAAAAATATACACGTATCTCGACGAGCCAAACCCTCCAGACATAATACCCGAGCGTCACGCGATATATTTTAGCATACACAGTGAGAAAGACAAAGCTATATGGGGGAGCAAACAAAGTACAAACACGCATCAGCGATTCACGCACCAATGGTGCCCGCCATCCAGCGATTCTCAAATCGACCTGTGATAAGACCTACACGCCTACGATATAATATGTGAGTTTTATGCAAATTTGAAGAAAAAAAATCGAAAAATAGTTGCAAAAGCATCGATTACCTTTTTTTCCTCATAATTACACGTGCGTCCGTAGTATTCGTGTCACCGAGCGAGCGAGAGTTTATTGAACCAAACGATCCTTTTTTTTTAAAGATCGCATGTACGCCGGTTCCATAAGTAATTCGTGTGCCGATTTCTTGCCTGACGCGTCTCAACGACGATCGGCATCGCAATTTTGCGTAAACTTTTTTTTTTTTTTTTTTCTTTATTATCTAGCCACATCAGCAATAGTAAACGTCCGTGGAGTGAAAAAAAAAGATCTGTGACCCGCATCTTAACGTAAAGACGTCATTGCACAAATCGCAATTATAAGTTTGCATCAGCCAACACATGAGAGTTGTTGTTAATTACAGTTAATCAATTTTACGGAAGAAAAATTATTATTTTTTTTTAGGTCACTACGGGGTACAACGATTTGGAAAAAGACGAGGTCGACATAATTGCAGGTGCCCTGGAGCTTCGCAAAAAAACAGTCGCCGACATAATGACGCACATCGACGACGTTTACATGCTCGACCACAACAGAATCTTGGATTTCGAAACTGTCTCCGAAATCATGTCATCTGGTGTGTACTTCAACTATTTTCTTTTTCATTTCTACGTGCCATGTATTTCGTATAGATCGAGTCAATCCCCTTGCATAACTTGGGACCGATTTTTCTGTCCAAACAGTTGTACTTATCATAATCATTGATGGATTTAGAAAAAAAGGGAGTCACGCTCTCCTACCCGTGAATTGCGATTACGCGTAAAACAAAACGATTCATCGAATCCCTCGTATGGTGAAATTGAATGGTTGTATTTTTAGGCTACTCGCGCATCCCTGTATACGAAGGCACTCGCACCAACATCGTGACGATAATGTACATCAAGGACCTGGCGCTCTGCGATCCCGACGACAACATGCCCCTGAAAACGCACTGTCAGTTCTACCAGAACCCCTGCAACTTTGTCTTCGAGGACGTCACGCTGGACGTCATATTCAAGCAATTCAAGGAAGGTCCGTATATACTTTCGCACGAAATCTTATTGAATGTGTATCTTCTTGAGCTTCCCAGTTTCGAAGATTAGATAAACCGCGTGTGTCGATTGTATTGGGCGTAACGCGCGTCGCGGGATAAGGCGATAAGAATTCGATACATTGATTTCACTAGAAACGCCGATAATGAAATAACAATAATAATAATAATAATAATAATAATAATAATAATAATAATAATAATAATAATAACAACGTACGTATACGCGCGTGTGTGTGCGTGTGTGCAATGTAGGGCACAAGGGGCACATGGCGTTCGTTCAGCGCGTCAACAGCGAAGGCGAGGGCGATCCGTTTTACGAAGTGATAGGCCTCGTCACGCTGGAGGATGTCATCGAGGAGCTCATTCAAGCCGAGATCGTCGACGAGACGGACGTTTTGAGTGAGTGTATATGTATACATATATATACACATAATACTCTCGCTCTCTTTTCTCCCTGACCGATAAGAATTGGTCAAGCGCGAAACTTACATATGTAATCTTATCGGGGCGTCGTTTTAACGTTGCAGCTGATAACAGGACCAAGCGAAAGCGCCAGGCTCGAACCAAGGTGCCGGACTTTACGGTCTTTGCGGAGAAAAAGGAGAACCAGCTCATCCACATATCACCGCAGTTGACTCTCGCCATGTTCCAGTACTTGTCGACCAGTGAGTTGAAAAAGTTGTTTTTTCTCTACCCCCTCCCCTGTCCGTTGTACTGTTCTGCCTTATCAGCTGTTGTTAAGTTTGATTTTTTGTAGAATTTTATTTTGTTTGGTCGCAAAATAAAGTTATACATAGGATCGTTTAAAATAGTAATAATAATAATAATAATAATAATAATAAT